TTTCTTGTCACCTACGCAATTCGGGTACAACAATTTTTTGTGATCCTCTAACATGCGCTGCAACTTTTTCTTCTCCAAATCACTTGCGCAGTTTCTCTTTGCATCGGCAATGGCCCAACCTAGATCATCAATGGGCTCATATGATGCCTCTTCTTCAGCTTCTTCCCGCATTGCCGGCTCAGCTTCTTCCCGCATTACCGGCTCAGCTTCTTCCCCCATTGTTGTATCATCGTATTCAGGGAACCCATGGCCAGGATAGCTGTCGTCGTCCTCTTCTTCTTCATTGTCTTCCATCATAACCCCTCTTTCTCCGTGCTTGGTCCAAACATTATAATGGGGCATGAAACCGGACTTAAACAGGTGGACGTGAATGGTTCTTGACGTAGAGTAATTGTGACCATTCTTACAGCGAGCACATGGACAAGGCATAAAACCATCCGCCCGCTTGTTTGCCTCAGCCGCAAGCAGAAAAGTATGCACGCCCTCAACGAACTGGAGAGAGCATCGGTCATCGTACATCCATTGCCGGCTCATCTTCATTATACAACACCGAATAGACCAAATTAATACAAGTTCATACATAAAGTTCATACAACACTTAAATGCAACAAACCAATAACTCTCTAGCTAAAGCATTTAAATGCAACAACAAATACGATCAAGATCGCAACTAAGGTAACAATGGATCCAACAGCATAATGATACCAAGCCTCACTATCGATGGCATATTTTCTAATCTTTCTAATCTTCAAGCGCATTTTCTCCATCTTGATCTTGTGATCATCGACGACATCGGCAACATGCAACTCCAATTCCATCTTCTCCCCCTCAATTCTTTTCAATTTTTCTTTCAAGTACTCGTTTTCTCTTTCAACTAAATTTAACCTCTCGGCAATAGGGTCGGTTGGAATTTCCGGTTCACATACCTCCTAGAAAAAATTTCTATGTCAACTTGATGGGCATAATTTGTCATAAACACGAAATGCAACTAGTTTAAAAGAGAATATACATACCACATCCGAATCATAACAAGGACTAGGGCCGACGGGGACGGATATCAAAACCATGGCACTATATGTATAACAAACAACGTACGGGTAAGATAATTATACGAGTAACTATATATCCAAATCACACAAACATCAATTTTTATATAAAATTTCATGAACAAGAGGCTCACCACAAGGTGGTGCCGGCGACGGGACGGTGCGGGCGATCGACGGTGGCTACGATGGAGATTTAGAAGGCACTAAGTAAACCACACCTACATATGCAAACTAAGTGTTATTTTTGACCTCAAATTGCATATAAATCAAATACTAGCACATATATATATCCTCCCAAATTACTAAACTCACAAATTAATCACTATATAAACCAATGCAAGAGCTAATCTAGCAATGAGAGATGAAAGGACAAAGTTGCTAACCTTTGTGATCATTTGAATGGATGAGGGCCTTCAAATCTTGACAAATTTTGGGCAAATTTTGTGATGAACTCGAGAGGAAGAAGGGAAGAACAGAGGAGAGGGAGAGGGGAAAGGGGGAAGAACAGAGTGCTGGTGGACGAAGGGTTTATGTAGGACGACCTTTAGTACCGGTTCGTGGCACGAACCTGTACTAAAGGGGCTGGAGGGGCCCCAGTCTGACAACATCCTGCCACCACTCTCATTAGTACCGGTTCGTGGCACGAACCGGTGCTAAAGGTTCGCCACGAACTGGTACTAATGAAAGCGGCCCGGCTAGCCGTTGGAACCGGCACTAATGTATACATTAGTGCCGGCTCAAATACAAACCGGCACTAATGTGCTTCACGTTTGACCTTTTTCTACTAGTGCACAGTAGCGCTGGAGGACGCCGCCTCAGCCTGTTACAAGAAATGGAGGCTGCTTCCTGGATGCCTTTGAGTTACTCGACGAAATGCACAGGAGAGAAGAGATACTGCGGTCGACCACAACAAAGAAAAGAAAAAAAGCCATTACTGCCAAACTATCTCTCATCACTCACCTATGCTTAAAAAATGAAAAGGAAGAAAGAAAAAAGCAGCACCAACAGCTGATAAAAAATGTGCAAAGCTCTGAACTATTCTAAGTGTTGATCATGTGCAGTACTATTATTATTTTTGCCGTGTTGACTGAACTATGCTTGCATTGAACATGCATCTAAACTGAACTATGCTATTAAACCAACTGAAGTGGAAAACACAAACAGGAGGAAGGCTCCCCTGCGAAGGATCCTTCCGAGTAGGCAGCGCTCATCGTACCTTCCTCCTGTCCAGCGACTCACGGCGATTCCGGAGGCCCAGATGGCGATGGGAGGGCTCTGCTGGCATGCGCATCCTATCCATCCCTTCCTTCCTCATGCACCTGCTCCTGGATTTACTCCACAGCCGCTCTCTCCCTCATACACCTGCTCGCCGGTGGGGCGCCTACCTCCACCGCCCCCGCCTCCCTCATCAGCTACGCCCTGACCCTCGCTGTTCTGGAGGCAGCACCGATCATCTGCTAGTCGCGGGCATCCAGTGAATCCGAAGCACGCCCTGACCCTCGATGTTGCCATCCGTCTCCTTCCATTCATCCTACATCTCAGTGGTGATGTCTCAGTCACTGCACGGAAGCTGTTTGACGAAATGACAAGGTAAGATAATAATGGCTTTAACAGTGCTAGTACTATTTGTGTTTTCCTCTCTCTTTCTCTCTGTAATGTACTAATGTGAATCTAACATCTCAAATGTGGTCTGTGACAGAGCCGAGTCGGCTCCACCTGCATGGCGCGCAGATTGTGCTGTGCCGATTTGCTGGAGAGCGACACCTCGGCCTGCTTCCTGGAACTGGAAGCACTCGGGTTACTTGACGAAATGTGCAGGAGAGAGAAGAAACTGCGGTCGATCACAACGACGCCATCTGTGTAACATAACGTAACAACTTGCTTTCCTTCACTTCCTTCCTATATTTCTCTCTGTATATCAATGTCTGTATATTTCTCTCAATAGATTAATGTGGTGTGGGGATGCATGGTTTGTAGCATGTCTACATAAAGTTACCACCATGACATAAATTTTACCACTAACTCTCATGTCTAGGATTCTTTTACCCAAAGGGGATTCGATGTACATCTGGGCGTTGGAAAGTTGATTATTCATGTCGATTGACATTGTTCAGTTTCATCAGAGTCATGCCATATCTTGACCTTGTTCAGCTTTTTCATTTGTTCCATAAGTTGCAAAAGTACCCGACCTTGTCAGCAACAACTCCCGAAATGACCTCCAACATACATTCCTTTGGCCGCCTCTCTGTCTTGACTGGGTCTTGAAGCTTAAACTTTCCAATTAGATGAATCAAACAAGTTTGTCCAATAGTTTTCACTGTGAGCGCGTTTACCCTTGTCTTGTTTACATCAAAGTGTCTGTAACAACTTTAGTTCTGCAATTTCCTTAGGAGTCATTGTGATATTGGGCCCAAGGCTTATCTCAGATTCCATAGCTTGCATATCTCTACTTTAAGGATCGAACGTCGTGATGGTTCGACCTCGTTCGACCTCCCCCTCCTATCGCTGCTATCGATACATCCTCCCGCAGCTTCTTCCATCCCCGTCCGAAAAAAAACACAAAAAAAGACCCACGAGGCCACGACCCCAAGTCCCACGCCCACGCAGCCTCCTCATCTCCCGCACCCCATCGCTCCCGATCCCGTCTCTCTCCCCGCTCCGGCGCTCCCGAGAAAAAAATTCTCTGAATCTCCTCTTCTCGTCCGCCCCGCGGTCGCGGTCCAGGGCTCCAGGCCGTTGGCAGTAGGATCCAGTCCCATCAACAACTTATTTGTTCCTCCCTCTTATCTGCACCACTCTAGATCGCGTCCAACCATAGGCGAGCTTGGAGGCGGCACGGAAGGAGAGCGCCAGTACGTCGCCGCAAGAGGACGTACTGGGGTTGGGGCTGGTGTGCAGGTGCAGCCGTACAACTCGGCCATCGGCCATGGCGGATGTGCTGGCCGCCGGGAGTGCCAGTACGCCACCGTCGGGGACGCCGTCAGGGAGGAGTTCTCTGTTCGCCGGAAGGCCGGCGCCGAGTGATCCGACGAGTGCCAGGCTTCTAGAGGGCGCCGCGGGTATGACAGCCGGATGCCGGATGATCACACATGCTTCTGCTCCGGCGGACATGCTAGCAGGTCGTGTTCTACTACTTCGTCAGGTTCAGGTACCCTTGATTGATCTAAGAGGTAATTGGTTGGTCAACAATATTTGATTGATCTAATCAACCTTGAGATGTCCTAATTTTTGACCAGTCTTTTTTTTGCGAATTAATTTCTGACCAGTCTATTTACTGGGAAGACTTCTCTTCTTTTAACCTGACACTTCATCTACAGGTATGTAGACTATGTTTGATTGATCTAAGAGGCAGGGACGTAGCTGCCTCATAGGCATTGGGGTCAGTTGACCCCAATGAATTTTGGAAATCCTTCACTAATTCAGTACTAGTCACTAATATTTATAGAAGGATGAACCCACTGCCATATACATGACCCCATCAAACATTTTTTCTAGCTTCGTCCCTGCTAAGAGGTAATTGGTTGGTCAACGATGTTCCAGTCTATTTACTGGTAAGGGAAGACTTCTGTTCTTTTAAACTGATCTAATCACTCTTTGACTATAGGAAATGGAACAAATTAAGTAGGATGAAGACATAAACACAAACAAGGTAGTAGACTATGAACTGGACAATTCCCTCAAATTCTCCACATTTAGCATGTTCTCTACTCCACATGCTGTTTAAATCAAGCCGTGTCTAACTAGAGATAGAACTTGTCTATTCCAAGCTACATTTCCTTTTATATACAGAATCATTTTTGACATTGGTTTTTGATCTTGCAGGACCAAAGAAACCAATGTTGAGCACATGAAACACAACTACCTTATTTATCAGTAGTTTTCTTATGGTGCACACGGACCAATTCAAGCATTTGTAAGTGTTTTATTTTTCTTCTCTTACGAATTCAAGCATCAATGTGCATGGTTTCTTTCTTCATCTATTTAATCACCATTTGCCACGTCAGAAAGCTCTATAGTTGCCCTGGTTCTGTTCGTGCTTCTCGTCGTTGTGCCATTCCAGTACATACGCAAGAGGAGGCAGTACAAGTGACTTCCTCGTCCAGGCTCCGCAAGTACAGTAACACAGGCGGGACACCCCACTCCAGAGTGGCAGCGACCTGGAGTTCGGCAGAGCCCACAGGCTGCAGCAGACACACCAATTCGCATATGAGGAGCTGGAGGATCCCACCGGCGGCTTCAGCGACACGCGAGAGCTTGACGGCCAGCGCCAGCGACGGTTTCGGCACCATGCATGTACAAACGTACATAACAGGCATCCTCACGCTATTTCCTTGGAGTTTGACATGGATCAATATCCTGACGACAACGGATTTTGTATGTGGTGTTCAGGATAACTACGGGACGGGCGGGCAGTGGTGGTGGAGCGGTTGTACGACAACAGCTGCTGGCACGTGCAACAGTTCATGAACTAGGCGATGATCCTGTCGCAGCTGCACCACCTGAACCTCGTCATCTTCTACGGATCCTGTTGCAGCTGCACCATCTGAATCTCGTCATCTTCCACGGCTGCACGTCCAGCCGCAGCAGTGTGCTGCTGCTGGTGTACGAGTAGATGCCCTACAACACCGCGGCCGACCACTTGCACGACCATCGTGCGGCAGTGCTGCCACTGTTGTGGTCACTCCGCCTAAATGTCGTCATCGAGGCAGCTGCAACAGTAGCCTATCTCCACCCCATCGAGCCTCCCGTGGTGTACCGTGACGAGAAGACTACCAGCATCCTCCTCGATGCTGAATTCCATGTCAAGGTGGCTGACTTTGGCCTCACCCGGCTCTTCCCGCTTGACGGTGCCACGGGGCATACCAGGGTTAGTGGACCGGGGTACGCCCCCCCACCCCCCCCCTCTCTCCTTAGCTCAGGGTAAGGAGTGAGAAGCTGCGCATGTATGTGTGCCTCTATAGAAGTCTTAGGTATAGTTGTGTGAACATGAAATTTGAGTAGACATAGGCAAAATGAAACACTATAATAGAACGTCGTGACAATGCCAGAAGTTAGAAATGGAATTTCCTATGTGGCCAAAGAATGTAACTCCATGGAAGGTTGGATTTTGGAATAATCATCCTAGATAGATGTTGTAATGGGAGAAATATCGGCCCAGTAAACACCAATTTAGCATTAGCCATGCATGCCTTTGAATATAATTCTTGTTGCTCTCTTCTACTGTTTTGTGTTTTCAGCTGACATGTGAAAACAATGTATTGTTTAATACTCCCTCCGTTCCAAAATAGATGACTCAACTTTATACTAATTTTAGTATAAAGTTGGGTCATCTATTTTGGAACGGAGGGAGTACATAGGTTCCAATATATTTCTGAATCTTAATGTTGAAAATGCTGTGTTTCAAATTTTGCTTCACTTCTTGCTCGGTTAGTGTGCTTTGTATCTCTGATCTTGTAATGGGAGAAATATCGGCCCAGTAAACACCAATTTAGCATTAGCCATGCATGCCTTTGAATATAATTCTTGTTGCTCTCTTGTACTGTTTTGTGTTTTCAGCTGACATGTGAAAACAATGTATTATTTAATACACAGGTTCCAATATATTTCTGAATCTTAATGTTGAAAATGCCGTGTGTCAAATTTTGCTTCACTTCTTGCTTGGTTAGTGTGCTTTATATCTCTGATCTTCTATTATCTTTTTTTGTTTCACATTTTCACACTATCTTGTGTAGCTTGTATCTGATAGCCGTCAGGGAAGGTAATACGTCCTTTTGTCGGATATTGGACGAACTAATTCCATGTTGTTTTTCAGTATGTGCATCTGCAGTAATGTTGTATGCAGTCAGATATTTTACGGTGGCAGGAGGAAGATCCTGGATGAGTTGAACCCTTAGCATGCAGTAGATATTGAAAATTTGGAATGCATGCAAGTCATATCAGCTCATGTATTGGGAACATATACTAGGTTTTCTGTGCGGAAGTATTCAGAATTTACATTGTATCCTTGAAGTTATTGGTCTATCTATCCTCTGTTTATTTATATTTCATTTTGCAAAACCAAAAATAGAGCCAAACATTTTACCAGCTTCCAACATCATAAATTCCAAAACCAAATTCATGTTCTGAAACATTGGCGGACCTAGTGGGTGTGCCGGGTGTGCCGTGGCACACCCAGCATTTTGCAGATTTTTTCCACTATATGTCATCTTTTGCTGATTTTGTTGGTTTTATTTGTAGTCCTGAACTAATTCACCTGAAGTTGTACACCTACATGCAAACCTAGCAAACCATCTTGATTGTTTTTTCTACTATCAGCACTACATGAGCCTGGTAGTAGCTAGCTAGATCAATTCCATCGGTCAACTCGATGAAAACTCTAGCAGCGACTCCCGTAGATTGCAAACGGGAAAAAATAGGACTCTTTGATCTACCATGTTATTTTTTTGAGACAACTTCAATGTACCACGTGACCCTACCTTTTTTTAGAAAAGGAAGATGGCCCCAGCCTCGCATCTGGGCGATGCATATGCAACCATTTTATTATTTATTCACAAGGTTCTTACAAAATAATACAATAGTGAGTCTGAGGCCACTATCTCAGCAACATCTATCGCTACTTCTATCCACTTGATGAAGGTGTGCCGAAAATTCGAGCCGAATGCCAAACGAACTTCGCACCAAAGCCTAACATTTAAAGTCGGAGGCCCCAACCAAGCCACCATGCCAGGTCTGGGGCACACATCAATCCGACGCACTCTTAGAGGCTACTGTCGCCGTCTTCCACCTATCCATCTCAGAGGCCACCACCACCCCGAGGACAGCACCAGCCGCCGGTCTGTGTCGTATGTAGCCTGTGCCAGACAGGCTTCGCCCGCCGGCGCGCCTGTGCGACGACGAGGGGGGAGGAGGGCCAGGGGACAGCAGCGGCGGGAGGCCTCCCCTGTCGCCCGCGTATGCGGCAGAGGAGGGCGATCCATTTTTGGGAGGAGGGTTGTGCGTGTGTGTGTTCTGCTATCTTAAAATGGGAGAGATTTTCACTTCTTGGCTTCTACACCAACTAGGTATGCATACAACTAACTTAGTATGGGTACCAAAATAAACATGGTCCTTAGAATTTTGCAAAATTGAAATGATTTTCTGAAATATAATATTGTGAGACTTGATTGAGCTATTTGTGTTATTCTTTCGCCGTATATGATACGGCACTTAGATTAGGCAGATTTTTTTGTAAGTGTGCACACCCTCCAATTTTTTTCCTAGGTCCGTCACTGGTTCTGAAATAGAAGTTTAGGAATACTAGAGCATGCAAGTTCTGTGTTATTAACAGAAGGTTGATTGGTCTGATAAATTTGCAAATAAAAAAAATAGACGTGGAGGTGTCCGCATATTTGTGGTAAACCTGCTCTGAAATATTTCTTTATTAGTTTTCAACGTGGAGTGGGGAATCCTTTGCTAACCTGTTTTTCGTACTCATTTTATGTTGCTAAATTTTCCAGTTAATGTACATGGTGGAACATGTTGGATTTTGAGGAATGATGCATCCACGGTCAAGTTTATTCTATAGACTTGCTTAAGTTAAAACAAATATTCCAAGGCGATGGAAGGGCGAGATGACAGATTTGTTAAGCGGCGGCAAGGCTACATCAAGGGTAGACGAAATTGAATGAATGTGCGTGCGAACAGGATGAAAGTTACCGCTTGAAGGAGATATGGTTATTAAATAGAGACGATGAGTGTGGTAGAGAATCAACATGTTATATGGATGGAATCAACATGTTGTCTTGTTTGACACACTTCTTCGAAGAACAAAAATTTCTATTAATATTTTTTGCCATTTCGTGGCAACGCGCGGGTACTCAGCTAGTCTCTTTAAGATGGCAATCTTTCACATCAATGCACCCTTCCAGGTCCAACACTCGTGCAAGTTTGTATTTGTTGAAGTTGGAAATAGCGTCACCTGTATTCCCCATGACCGTCAGAGACTGGAGACAGATAAATCGATGTCAGGCACTGTTTTGGAATTTGCAGTGTTGCTACCATGGATAAATAAGTGATGAGCTTTTTTGTGCTGAGCACCAAAGGGCATGATGAATTTCTTAGACATGGATTTGTGCAATATGAACATGTGCATGATACCAATGAGCTTTGCACGTATTCCCTGTGCCATTGCTGGTTGGAAAAACAGGCAGAATGATACTCCGGCACATAAATGTCTTGAAGTTATCATCAGCTACAGTTTGGTGCCTGCCTTGATGATGGCGTGCATTTCCTTCAGCCGACCATCGCCTGATTATCACATTCTTCCTGAAGGGATGATCGATTGGGAATATACCTAGATACGGCAAGCAGGACCTGCCAGACTGGTGTAATTTTCCCTAAGCACACCTCGAAGCATTGCAAAGTTAGGCTCATCGTCCTTGTTTACCAGATATGTACCCGGGTCGTTGGACAATTTGTTGCAGAATTTCCCCATTGGTACATTTTCACAACTTAATTGGCAGGCCACACTATACAGAGCAAGCGGAAGACTGTCACATTTCTTCCGGAGTTTTGCCGCACCCAACCTGACTCCGGTGTACATCTTCCCAAGAGAGCTACTTTTCGGGAATCTTCTTCTCCAAGACATCTCATGTTGTACACATGACCTAAGATACATCTATCCTCTTCCTCATGTTAAAAGAGGAACAAAACTTCAATGTTTAGATATTGGTCTCTTTTTTGGCGTGTTGTTGAAGATGCTCTTAGAGGATTCATTACATTGCATCGGACTACCAAAAGATCATACTAGTTCATTGTAGTTTAGCATCCGTCAACCAAAACAGACACTAGTTCAACACCGAAAAAGACAATTCTACTACTACTTATATATACACGAAACTAAGGACAAGATAGAATTCACAGGCATGGTGTGTTGCCCTTCCCATTGTCGTCTCTGCAACTACTGCAGTACATGGTGAAGACTGCATAGGGGTTGTTCGGGCATCAGAGAAGGACGGGGTGTAGCACAGCCCAACGAGATGTCTGGCGTGCTTTGGCCGTGGACGCCTCTTTCTCAGTCGTCGGCCGCCTGGGCGCCTCAATGCCCTCTGGCAATGCTTTCACGTTCTTACTATGGCAGCGACGGGCGTCTGTCTCGACGGAGGTTATCTGGCACAGGATTTCCAGCGGACGACCTGGTCGTCATTGAAGAAGGACGGCAAACAGACAATTAGAGTGGAGCCGCACAGGTTAGTTCTGGCTCTTCGGGTCTTCTCCCGAGCACGCCGAGCTGCCCGTGCCTCGGACTTAGGAGCCGCCGCTGGCTCGGATGGCGTGGCACGAGCAGCTATGGGTTACTGAGAGTGTGTGCCATGGTGACACGTCGGAGCTACACGATCGACATCGGTCCACAAGGGACAGTACAGAGTGCCTCCACTCGTAGCTGCCTCTGCGGCTGCATTCACCCTGGCAAGCAGCCAAGGGGGGAGGGGGGTGCGGCGCGAAGCTCGAAGAGCCGCCCTGGTCCACCACGGGTGGCGGAGGGCAAGGTCCTCATTGCACGACATCGAGCTCGAATCCTCAGGTGCGAGCGCATACCAATCGGTTGGGTTGGCCTCGCTTGCCGAGCAGGCC